AAATATGCAAAATCGGCGTATCAAATATTAATCAAGATTTGCCCGACTGAAACATGCACTATTACCAGTAAATAAATGACACTTGACAAATTGTTTATTATGAAACAAAGTATTATTATATCTACAAAATACAAGCAAGATTCATTCGTCCGAAATTCGCGTGTGTTCCTAGCACGAATACGTTTCCTTATTTCCTGAGACCACTGCATCGCGAAGGATCGTCATTGGATCGTTCGTAGTTCTGAATTAGGGCATGCTGTCACAACGGAATTGTGAAGCTCTTCTAACTTCTGCAACGTTCTGAAATCTTGTTAAGAACACCCAAACTCTTTTGCCGTTTCTTAATCTTGGCAAGTTCATGGAGTAAACTGAGAATTATATGAAACACAATCAAACCATATAACTCCATAAAGACATAACAATTAAGCAACTCCCCAGAGACATGCAACATTTTTGGAACAAAACGTAACAAAATAGTAGCGTTGATACGGTGATGTGTATTTGCAAAAAGCAATATTATTTCCTTCAATAAAGAATATTCATCCTGCTCTAACCGAGAAATAATCTACTCAGTCTGTTTGAACCTATTAAAAACATAAAAAAATTAGGCTATTTAAGAATACGAAAAATTTAAGCGCCTGCCTTCCATGGTCAGTCTTTCATGTACATTTAAGTTTGCAAAGACCTAATATTAAATACTTGCATAATTTCGAACGTTCATATTTCAGGAAACAATGAGCCAAGACTTACATGTAAGATGTCTAAATCTACGCCATATCCCTTACAAACCTTAACGATAATTCGCTGAAATACAAGTTAGCCTAATATGTCATTAAGCAAACAAACGCTGGAGTTAATATTTGATATGCCGATTTTCGCTAATTTTAGACACATTCCAAAATATGCTCCCCATTTTTAACATTAATATCTCCGTGAATTTTTAAGTTAAATACAACTGTAATATATCAAAATCTAAGTTAGTCCTTCCTCTATTTAATGCTAGTTATTTCTCTTTAAAAACTTTACTTGTTTAGAAGTTATTACGAATCAAACAGGAGTACTTTTTTTTGGGCCACCCGGTATATATATATATATATATATATATATATATATATATATATATATATATATATATATATATATATATATATATATATATATATATATATATATATATATATATACGTATATATATATAATTCAAACGGTTGTCTTTGCAAACATTAAACTCTAAGCGTGTAAAGCTTAGTTGGATCGCAAGTTTCAAGTTTATTAGCTGAAGATTGCATCTACTTGTGAGTGAATAGGGAGTCCCATGTATGATTTCTAAACTAATTAAATGATGTTCCCATTATGCTTAGCATGCTTAAAGTTTAAAGTTTTAGAGTTTAAGGTTGATCCAGCATGATCTGGTGTGGTGTTCTGCCAGCTCTGGTTCCGAGTTGCATTGGTGATGTGCACCGCCCGCCCATCGCTAGTCTTGTATCTGAATTGTAATTGTTCACAGTTCGCTAATATTTTTTTCTCCCATGAAATATAGCTCCCACTCTGGGCCAGGACTAGGGAGGAGGTGCACCCCCCTTCCTCCAATTAAATTCATCTCTGTTGCAAATACAGCCTTTATTGAATTATATATATATATATATATATATATATATATATATATATATATATATATATATATATATATATATATATATATATATATATGTATATATATATATATATATATATATATATATATAATATCTGTAATCGATATTTTGATAACAACATTTCTCGTAATAATCCGTCCTGACACGCAGATAGTATAGACTCACAAATCATAATGAACGAACTTAGTAATGAAAGGGACTAACAAAAGAGGTAGAGAAGATTTTGAAAATGCCATTTCCGACGATTTAGAGACGCAAAATTTTCCCGTTCTGTGCCAACCATGGTGGCGCTTCGTGGGAGTCGGGCCCTCTAAGTTTATCAAGCTGGCTCCCTGAGTGACCAAGTTGTGGTATCTACATAAACATATTATACAAGTACTTAACTGAAGTACTTGTATAATATATCCAAATATCTGTTTCAGAAAATGCAGGAAATTGCAGTCATAGGGGTAGAAAAATACAAAATTGCGATACCACACCAAACGTTTTGTTACCAACAAACAATCTATCATTTCTCCACACTCGGTATGGTATGGTCCCTTTTTGTAGACGCCCCACTGACGAATTCTTAAAAATGCCCGGACGCAAATGAGATTTAAACTTGAAAGTAGCAACATTATACGCACATAATTACATATATTCATATGTTTTCTATGTCATATATGTACATATGGCTGTCTTTCCATTAAAATTCTCAAAAGTTAAATGTCAGTGTATGCTGTTTCTTCTGAAATCTACAGATTTTCTAAGCTTTTCATGCAGCAACGATCAAAAATAGATCATGTTGAATGTTTTCTTTATGGCATTATGCTAACAATCAAATGTTTTAAGTTTTTAGTGCCTGGAAACAAGGTTGAAAGACTGAAAAACAGCAAAAAGGAAGAAAAAACCCACTTTTTGCAACTATGTGATGACGCCTTGTAGTAATTTTACCAATTTAAGGAATTTTAAGGAAATCTGAGGAATTTTCGAGATTTTTCTAAGGAATTCGAAAATTTGATTGTGAGAGCACTGGTTATAAGTTGAAACGAAAAGCGAATTCAAAAACAAACAAAAATTGGCTAGAATTTCGTTTTTGATTTCGATAAAATGGTCAAGTTTGAGGAGCGATTCTGGGTAAGAAATCTGTTATATATTGCTGAAAATCCTACTGGTTTTCACCGCATATGATAATGTATTAACACTGTAAATACTGATACAACTCTGACGAACATATAGACGACTCGAATGATCGAATTATTAAAATCAAAACATTCCATTTCTGTGCACTAGGATGTCAAAAGTTTCGACGAACTGCGAAAGTACTGCAGGCAGAGTAACGATTTCTGTAAGGATGTCTGTGGTATACTACATTCAAGGTATTTAATATCGTTGAATATATATTATCTGTTAATAATATTTAATAACAACACATTGTTTTGAACTGTGATTTATACGCGATAATAATGATAATAATTAATACGTGATTTATTGTACAATAATCATCATTTATCAATGTTAACAGCATGTCATTTTAATCAAAGATTGATTCCTGATAGGAATTCCAGATTCTGTTTGGAACCTACAATTAAGCGCTTATGATTTAGCCCATCATTAATTACCTGGCCAAATATACTTTCCTCTTGAGTAGCAGCGTTTCAGGTTTTGCCAGAAATATCTATCTATTTCTCAATGACTTGGAAAACTGGTGCATGGCAAACTTAGCAGTGCTCATGGTCCGGAGGAGCATTGTGCTAGGGCGCATGCATCCCTAGAAAATTATCAAATTTTAAAGCTCTCAAAAATCAGTTTGAGCACTGCTTCAATGATCGAATCACTACAGCACCCTTTAAGTTGCAATGCATGCACCCTTTATTATTTTACTTTGTTTAATGGTAGATGATTTTACTTGTCAAGGGTAGAATGCTGCCACTCAATGGGTTAAACGGACCATATCTGCAGATTCATCCTGTTAACCCTCAAGTGTAAATGTGGCCTACTTCGTAAGGGTTATACTTTTACTAGTCATTATTGCATCCAGAGCAGCACCTATTACAAAACTTAAAACTTGTACGTCTACCATCATGATAACATACATTGGAGTATAGTAGATGGATAATCCAAGTGAAATTTACGTGGTGTTTCCACAAACAAAACTATTATATAATATTTGTACACTTTTTGTACCGTTGAACCAGGCACGGTTGCGAAAAATGCAACTGACAACTAGGTCCTCTGGCAGGAATTGAACTGCTTCCCTGCGCTTGGAACCAGTGTGGAATCGTAGGGCTGCAGGTCTCGGAACGGCAGGTTATCTACTCCAATGTACATGCATGCTATCTTGAATCAGTATAAGATTGTCACATGATACTATATTATCCATCTACTCCAACATTCAGTTTCAACCAAGTGAAGTGCAGACAAATCTCTTTCAAATTCACCTCATCATGATAACAGCCTTTTATTGATAACGCTGTTATTATGAATAGCTTCATACTTTAGAGACAATACTAATTTCCAAAACCGTTGTGGCTGGTACATGTGTTACTTAGGATATGATCCCAGACTAGGCTGGATCGATATACCGGATATATCTGATATACCGGTATTTGTTTAGATACCGGTTTGGCGATATTGACAATTTAAAAATACCGATATACTGGAATTTCGGTATTTTGCTGCCTAATACCGAAATGAAACGCTATTTCAAGTCAAACTTGCTTACAATCACGTTTAGAAAGCAAAGTTAATACTCACAGATGCATGACATGCATGAAAACCTTTTCCGGCTTTTCAAGTTTTTTTTATCGGGCAGTATAATATAAGAAGGTAACTTTTTGTTGTTTTTAATCTTATTTAACTGACATGCTACATGTAACTTGTTTATGTGTTAGTTTTAAATATGCAACGTTTTTTATGTTTATAACTATTAGCAGCTTACTGAAACACTATCTGAATTTATATAGCTACAAAACGAATATTTTTTTGAATGATTCAACACTTCGACGCCCTACTAATAATTGCCGCTTAGCGCTATTAATTGTTAACATAGCTTGATAATGCGAATCTTGTGACATTTGCACTAATAACAGCCAGGTGATCTCGTGTTCGTATTTTAACCAATCAGCGCTCAGAAAGGGTTGTCCGAATAGAAATCCATTTCGATGTATTCAGTCAATTATATCTTTCGTTATTCTTTATGAAACTAGTTGAAATTTTGTAATTATGTTTGGTTATGGGAACTATAGCTCTGACAAAAATATGGAATAGAAATAAAGTATATTACAGGAGATATTCAGTTGTTTTAATCATAAAATGGATTTCTATTTGACAACTAGTGCCAGTACTTTTCCGCGTATCAAGATCACCTGGCCAGTATGTGCTACATTAATATTTTGTCAAAACTTGATTTTTCTTGACGGTCAGCACTTCAGTTTGGCTTAAAAAAAAAAACACGTTAAAAATACCGGAATACCGGTATTTACCGGTATTCTGATGGCGGTATATCGGTATTCCGTATTTGCGATATCGATCCAGCCTATCCCAGACCTGCCAAACCTGACCTGAAGAAAATCTGGAGAAAATTGTTAAAAAGCTGGAGATTTTCCAGCTAACTATTTAAAGTGCATTTATGGACCTATTCCCTAATGAACAAAATTTTGATCTAGACAAGTCTAGACAAACATTTCAGCACAGCTTGAACGAGCATCACAAAATTAGTAAAATTCCGAAGTTTTGTTGCGAAATGTTGTAAAATGTGGATAATATAGTCCTGCGAAGTTTGCCGTTTTTCAGTCATTTTGTATTACGCACGGGAAATTGATACCTTTTTTCAGAAAATGGTATCAATTTCCCGTGCGTAATACAAAATGACTGAAAAACGGCAAACTTCGCAGGGCTATATTATCCGCATTTTACAACATTTCGCAACGAATCTTCGGAATATTACTAATTTTGTGATGCTCTTTCAAGCTGTGAAATTTTTGTCCAGACTTGTCTAGATCAAAATTTTGTTCATTAGGTAATAGGTCCATTAAGAGACTAGAAAAACAAATATGATTATGATGAAAATGCAATAAAAATCAGATGGACATGAACTTTTTCCAATTTGAAAAGTAAAAGTAAAAGGTGATACCTGACAAAATCAGTCTTTCAGTCAAATGTCTGTTCAACCTCGTTCCCAGGCTCTTTCTTCGGGGAAGGAACGGGAACGAGGTTGATGTCTGTTACTTTATATCATCCTCTTACCCAAAATCAAGTGACAGTACAACTGTATACTTGATGAATCGAACCCAGCGCCAGAGGTGATAGGTACACTCACTGGTACTGTACTAACAGTACATGCACTAATCATGGTATCATCAACATGCCCACCCTACAAAATATAAAGCCTCCATTTTAAGATGGTTTAAAATTCTGAAATTTGGTGATATATATTTATTGAAAATTCTGAAATTTGGTGATATATATATATATATATATATATATATATATATATATATATATATATATATATATATATATATATATATATATATATATATATATATATATTGAATAATAAATTGCAGGACCCGTTGTTGGGATAAAAAAAATGGTGGGGCTTAATTAAACAATTTTATGGGAATACAATACAAACAACTGTACCAATTTTATTGGAAGGTGATTGTTTAGTTACTGACCCAAAGGATAAAGCAACTTTATTGAATGATTATTTTTGTAGTCAGAGTATGCTGCTAAATGCAGATGCACCGTTACCAAATTTAATAGAGTTGCAAAATGCTAAGACGTCAGTGGTTTCTACTAGTGAAAATGAAGTTTTTGATTTATTGAAAAGTGTCGATGTATCGAAGGCAAGGCTTGCGGAGTAGATGGTATAGGAAATTCCCTGTTGAAGATATGTGCTATTGGCATTGCTTCATCTCTGTCGAGATTTTTTAACATCTCTTTGGTAAATGGCTGTTTTCCAACAGTATGGAAACTAGCAAATGTTGTTCCCATTTTTAAAAAAAATAATCGTCAATTGAAAAGTAATTATCGTCCTGTGTCTTTACTAACATCGTTGTCCAAAATTTTTGAGAAAATAGTATTTAAACGTCTTTATAATTTTTTATTAGAAATAAATTTTTTCACTCCCTTGCAGTCAGGGTTTCGTCCCGGGGATTCCACTGTGAATCAACTCATACTTATGGTACATACAATTTGTGAGGCTTTAGAGCGTGGAAAGGAAGTGCATATGGTTTTCTTGGATATAAGTAAAGCTTTTGACAGAGTGTGGTATAAAGGTCTCCTTTTTAAGTTGAAACGTTTAGGTATTAAAGATCCATTACTATCTTGGATTAAAAGCTATTTGACAAACAGAAAACAACGAGTAGTTATTGATGGAAACATGTCTGATTGGAAAGACGTTGAAGCAGGAGTGCCACAGGGATCAGTACTTGGGCCACTGCTATTTCTAGTTGATATAAATGATATTACTGATAATATTCAAAGTACTTGCTTTCTTTATGCGGACGATACTTCTTTGTTAGAAATTGTCGAAGATCCTCAATTAAGTTCAGCCAAACTTAATAGTGACTTAACAAATATTAGTAAATGGACACGTGATTGGCTCGTCACTATTAATCCTAGTAAAACTGAAGCAGTGATCTTCTCCACTAAGAGATACAAACCAGTACATCCAGCTTTATATTAACGAAATAAATATTGTCAACAGTCATAATCATCTTGGAGTCACTCTTTCTTTTAACATGTCCTGGAGAACACATGTCTTAAATATTCATGATAAAGCTACAAAGCGATTAAATTTATTGAAAGGTTTGAAATTTAAAATTAATAGAAATACTTTGGAAAAGCTTTACAAATCTTTAATTAGACCTCTTATGGAATATGCAGGTGTTGTTTGGGATGGTTGTTGTGAAAATGTTAGTGACTTGCTTGAATCTGTACAATATGAATTTGCTAGAGTGGTCACTGGTGCAATGAAGGGTACTGGGCACCAAAGACTGCTCGAGGAGTTAGCATGGGAAAGTCTGAAGACAAGACGTTCAGTTCACAAACTTGTTTTGTTCTTTAAGATAGTTAATAATTTGACACCAAGTTTTTTATCTGATTTGCTTACTCCTACGACACAACAAAGATCAGGGTTATTGCTAAGATCTGCCTGTAACTTTAGCTTATTCCAATGTCGTACGGAAAGATTTAAAAAATCTTTTTTTCCTGCCACTACAGGCTTATGCAACAGTTTAGACTATAAATTTAGGGATACTCAATCGTTAAGATATTTTAAAAGTTATTTGCAGGATTTCTTTGACATTTCAACTTATGAGAAACGCTATGATTATGCACTAGATAGATATAATTCTATTCTCCATGCTCGACTTCGCTTGAATTGTTGTGCTTTAAACTACTATCTTTTCAAAATTAATTGTGTGATATCTCCAGCGTGTAATTATGGGTTTAATTGTGAATCTGTAATTCATTTTTTATATTGTCCCCGATAGGCTGCTCTTAGGACTTTCTTGTTAGCGGCCATGGTTGAAATCTTGGGAAGCGGCTGGTATCACATGTCCGATTCTTCTAAAACGAAAATGCTTTTGTTTGGATCTGAGAATCTGACTTTGAATCAAAATAATGCTATTTTTTCCATGTACAAACGTATATCAAAAGATCGGAGCGTTTTGCAGTTTGTAATGACTGATACAATCGCTTCTCAGGCTGTCTATATTATTTATACCACCATATAATGTATTTAAATGTAAATTGGCGTGAGCCCCCTAGATGAGCTTAAATAGCTCTTGGGGCAAACGATTAAATATGTTTAAATAAATAAACTACAGCAAGCATAATACAATACATAATTAAATCTTTATTCGGCAACATGTCAAAGTCTTAAATTTTTGTTTATCTCATTACTCGAACTAAATTGCAGAATACCCGTACACTAGTCATCTTTCACTGCGTAGCCAAATTTTCAGTAGGGAGTTTACGATCTGCGACGCGGCCGGCTCAACGACGCGGTATAAATTTCAGCTCAAGAATGAGCGGTAAGCAATTTGATTACAGTAATAAATGTTTGACGCTTTTTCAAATAACCTTACAAACTGCTACGTTCGGCTAAAGGGATGCAATGTTCGCTGTAATTTCGACTTTAAGTAACACCTCTTGAGTCGCATTAAGCTTTCACGTTGACTGAAAGACGTAATAATGCTTGTTTAACGTTGTGTTGAGAATGACAACACGGTTGACAATACTCCACGAATTATTGACAGTTTTTGTCTTGCATGACAAATTTTTTTGTAAGTTCTTTGTAGGTTTGCATGGCGATAAAACATATAATACTATTGTTTGTGGAAACACTAAATTTCTTTGTTTTGAAAGCGCGTCGTCGAGCCGGCCGCGTCGTAGATCGTAAACTCCCTAGTGGCTACGCAGGCACGCGCTATCAAATTACAATATCCAGGAAATACGTCATTATACGTAGCCGCGTAGCCATGTAGCCACTAAAACTATACCTTCCTTACAATTACGTAAAAAATCAAGCTAGTATTTTAATATTTAGATCTAAACTTGAGCAGACATATGCTGAAAACTTATCTCAACTGGCACTGAAGGCATCGAAATGTGGAAAGGATCTTGTTGGGTAAGCAATTAGCTCACACTTGAGTATAATATTGAATGGTCTGTGCCAGTGTAGCTAGGATAAAGCGATGATAACAAGACAGCTGCGATTGAGAGAGATTATACAATTACCTGATTGGTTTATTTTTGTCACATGATCTCTTTTTTATTCACTAGTATAAAAGCTCGTGTAATTTTCCTGACCTATGCTACAAACTTCCCAACGAAGGACCTTTGCGCGAAACGTCATTCTGCTTGACATGCATTTTTCAGGTAGTTGTATAATTACCTGATTGGTTTATTTTTGTCACATGATCTCTTTTTTATTCACTAGTACAAAGCTCGTGTAATTTTCCTGACCTATGCTACAAACTTCCCAACGAAGGACCTTTGCGCGAAACGTCATTCTGCTTGACATGTTTTTTTCAGGTAGTTGTATCCCTCTCAATCCACAGCTGTCTCACAGTTGAGTATCTTTTAGTACATACATGTCACATTGACTGAAATTCTCGAATTGCCAATTAAACAAAATGACACAGTGTTTGCCACACACAGTCACAGACACTAAGGAATACTGATTGCATAGGAAATGCAAATGAATGACACGGCATTACAGTATATCGTACACTGTACGCTATGAGTATTAGCGAATAGTCCACCTTTACTACGATGAGTTATATATGCCTGCCGCACACCAGCGAAACTTGCTGAACTAGCCGCCACGCAGGCGGTTTCTCTCGGCATGTTTCTCTTATGTACGGATAGCTTTCGTGTGGATTTAACCTCTCTAGGTCTTGAGGAAAGTATCGAGGAAAAAATACCAACGTCTTCGGATGTTGCGAGATTAGTGCTGCAGAGCTGCTTGAATTAACTAGCCAATGAGAACCCAACGTTTCTTCACGTCACTTTGGTCAAAATGGCGACAATGGAGGGAAATACAAACCATCTTATCAACGATGTTGTTGTTAACTACTGTAGTATTGAGTAGTTTTCCCAACGTGCACGATGAAAATGCATTATACTGCATGTGTAGCTGAGTTAGCCGCCACGCGAGGCGGTTTGCTCAGCAAGTTTCTCTCTTAGGCTTAATATGACACTGCCATGTCAATATTGAATATTGCAGGATGAAACTAAAATTAACCCCAATGATTTTTTAGAACACTCAAGTCAGCATGGACAAAAATGGCAGCAGAAATTGAAAATGAAGCAGAATTACACAAGTATGTAACTTTCATCCAATATAACTATTCAGTAAACAAGGTGTGAATTACACTAGCGTAGCCAGCCCGACGATTTAGTAATATGTAATATATTATTATATTATATATGCAAATATTTTCGTCTTCATTGACTGTGAGAACAATCAATTTCTAAAAAATGAATAATGATAATAATTTTGAATTTGCATGGCGGGACTAAATTGTCGGGCTGGCTACGCCACTGGTGAATTATAGATGCAAGAGTTACATGAGTTTAAAGACGAGTGCAATATGAGGACAATGCTTCTCTCCTCCGCAGAGGCGAACATGAAGTTTCTAGTGAGGGAAAGGTGAGCGCGCAAGGAGTGATGGGAAGAGCGAAGTAAAGGAAGTCTCTGCTAGTTAAAGGTCCAGTTACACGTGCGATTTTTCTCTCGCGCCGGCAACGCAACGCCTTTGCAACGGGTTAAATTGCATTGTGTTACTCGCGCGAGTGAAGTGGTGACACGAGCAATGATAGCTTAGCCGCGTCGCAACTATTTGCATGAAAAAACCGGGCACAAACGTCACTGACAACAACATGGCGTCGAAGAAAGAACTTGTGGTCATAGCTGCAATGCTTTTGCTGGAAGAAGATGACGAGGAGGTTAAAGAAAAGAAACGTATTTGGAGCCGGCACTGGCTTCTAGAGAGAAAAACAAAGGTTATTTCGGTCAGCTTCTTCCCGATCTGGCTGCCCACGACACACCAGGATTTGAAAAATTTATGCGAATGGATTTTGATCATTTCAAAAAGATAGTTGATAATCTATCTGAAAAGCTTTACAAGAAAGACACAATAATGCGTGAATCAATCAAGCCAGCAGAAATGTGTTGTTTAACGCTTCGATATTTGGCAGCGCTACAGCACGCTGTCCGTACAGAAGCGAATTTCATTGGCTATCTTAAAATAGCCCATGCGTTTCCTGCTCAAACAATGCCTGGGTAATTCGATATTTTCGGCAATCGTTGCCGAAAGTTCAAGCATTTCAACTTTCCGCAACGATTGCCGAGAATATCGGGTTGCAATTGCATTACCGCGCCAGATATGTTACACGGGCAATTTTATCACTCGCGCGAGTAACGCAATGAAATTTAACCCGTTGCGTTGCCGGCGCGAGAAAAAAATCGCACGTGTAACTGGACCTTAAGAATTCACGGCAATTCTCTAGCAAATCCAAAAGTCATGCAAGCATGAATTTGAGACACTTGAAACTTCCATGCTCTTATTCTGAGTTCCCAAGGGGCACAGCGGTCAGCGTGAATTGCTAAATTATTTATTTCCTTTTAGGTACATTAATCATGGACAAAATCACTCAGACAAACACATTAGATACAAAATATCCTCCGAAAATCCGCCCCCCTCCCATAGTAAAATGTTGGTGAACATTCGAGCCACGACTATAACTTTGTCAACATTTGAGACAACAACATTGTAGCAGGGAGGAGGGGATGCAACCAATTTGTAGGCGAGAGCATCCATGATATGTAATCGTCAGCCATGAAGAAACAGCACGTCCGAGTGTTTTTGTCCAGGATTGTAGATCTTAATATTAATTAAGGTTTTATAATTATGCTGTATCACGAGACCTTAAGCAGAAAACAGTATACAGCAGGCATCGAATTTATCGTCGGCGCCGGCGGCCACTGTTCGATGCCCTTCTTGTTGGCCGCTATATAAGCCCTCGAAATTTATTGAAATCTACGGCAGTATACGTAGTTGGGCCTGCTCTGAACCTCAGTACTTTATGAGCTTTGAGTAACAAAGAGTGACTGGACAAAATGGAATAGACATTTTCATTTAGACGACAAATGCGTTAAAACAATGTATTATATGCACGTATTGTATGCGATGTCCCACGGGACAGTTTTTAATTAGCGACAATTCGCAATGCAAGTCGTTTACCAGCCAATCAATTCATTTCATGTAACTCCATTTCACCATGTGCAATGCAAATTGTCGCAAAAAATTATCCCGTGGCCGAGACATCGCATTAAGCCGTGTTTTTCCACATTGACGTCATCATGAAAAAGGTCTATTAATTAAGAAATCAGTTACTGCCATCTATATTTTGATTTATAAAATAATTCACTATTAATAAACGGTTGCCGAATCTGACAAATTTTCTCTAAAATTCAATAAACTTTGAGCAAAAAATAAATTTTGAAACGTTTGGGCTACTGTAATTTTGCAAATTTTGCAAAATTCTCAGCTTGTGTTCGAGCTATGTGCCAAAAATGTGTTAACAAGTCCTCATTCGTCAATCAGAATTTCATCAGAAAACAAGGGTGAGGTGCTTGAAACAGAAATTGAATGAAAGTTTCAAACAGTCCTCGATGGCTGGCTGTGATCTTTCTTTTCCCATATCCAGAGGCATATGGCACGGGCATCCCACTTTTCCATTTCACCACCTCTTTGTTATCCCATTGCTAAATTTTTAAAGTCTGAGAGTCTTAAAATTTGTGGTGATGAATCATCACTGACGATGTTGGCTAGCCCCGCCCCCCAAATTGCATAGGTTCCAATCTTCTCATGTAAAAAAGCGACAGTGGCAATTCTATGTTGTTTACTTCTCTATTTACAGTTAAAAATTAATATTCACGAATGTTTCAATACTTATTTTCAGGTTTCGCGGAATTTGGAACTGGTAGGGTTGCAATCATCACAAAGAAACGACACAGAAATTCAAAATAGATTAACAAAGTCGTTTGCATTGATGATCGGTGCATTGATGTGTTGCTATATCCCTGCATGTATAGCAGTGTACTACATGAACCTTTGCAATCCCTGCAACTGTGACGTTATCGAGTGGCTGAGGGACCTCGTCTTTTGGCTTATCTTGCTCAATTCGGCAATCGACCCATTTATATATGCGCTCCGTACCAGGCAATTTCGTAAAGCAGTGCGAAATATACTGTCTTGTAAATGTAGGGAAAAAACCAATACAGCCCAGCAAAGGTACATTGCTAAATTTAATAATATCACACCCCATCAGAAACGAATTGCAGAACTTCTTCCTAAACAAGAAGGATATGGCTCAACAACTACTGAGACAACTTGCCTTACTTAGAATTGCCTACCAATAATTGTAACATTATGCTTATAGACTGAGATCACACTATCAAGCCTCCATGTAAAAGTTGTGTAAAATAACACATCTTTAATAAGTACAAGGTGTGTAATACAAAGGTGTGTAATTTTACACACCCAATGTTGTGTAATCGAACACACACCTAAGGTGTGTAATTTTGTATACAAGGTGTGTATAATTACACACCTTGGCTTCCATATTGCAAGAGATGTGTAATTATACACACCTTTATTCGAAAAGGTGTGTATTTATATACATACTTTGATGTGTAAAATTAATTACACACTCTTTTGTAGGGCATGGTAGAAAAGACGGAGTGCGGAGTACGGAGTCGGAGTATAGAGTGGAGAACGGCGGAGTTTGGTTAAAATCGAATCTTTAGGCAAAATAAACAATTGTTTGACAGACTCCACACACTGACTCCGCTCTCCGTCTTTTCCACCATGCCATTTTTTAGAATGTATGGTTAAATGAAAGATAAATAGAGTCAAAGAAAGACAAAGGCGAATTACTAGCCACGATATTGTATGATGCCCGTGAATACTTACCCACTGCATATAGAGAATGGATTCAATATATTAAAATCAACACAGTCGATTCAAATTGTGAAAATTAAACGATCCTGTATAATACAGGAAGGACTAGGTCGGTATTGTGCGGTAAGGCTAGTCATATAATGTAGCTATAAATTATCTATGAACATCATTAATGATGCTCGTGAAAGCTCTATTTAATTGGCACATACTGACATACGAATGCGATATATTATAATATCGGCGCTTGGCTGCGGATGCCATTTGGTCGGACAAGTGCACCCGAAGAGTTTCAACGACGCCAACATCGTGTTATAGAGAATCTTCCAGGAGTGGTAGCAATTCACGATGACATCCTGGTGATTGGCAACGGTGCTACGCGTGAAGAAGCACAGCGAGATCATGATGTGAAAGTTCATGCATTAATGCGTCGATGTCGTGGGAAGAACACCACGTTGAATGCAGATAAAGTCAAACTGAGTTGTAATGAAGACGAAGGACTGAAGCCTGATCCAGACAAGGTGAGAGCAATCTTAGAAATGTCTAAGTCAACAGATGTAGCTGCAGTTCGTAGATTGATTGGTTTTGTGAACTATTTACAAAGATTCTTGCCGAACCTGAGTGGAGTATGTGAACCTTTGAGGAAACTAACTCATAAAGATACAGCGTGGCGATGGACCGAGGAACAACAGCTCGCGTTTGACACAATGAAACAGTTAGTTGGCGAGATAACGATCTTTAAGTATTACCAGCCTAGTGAAGAGCTTACTCTACAATGTAATGCATCTGAAAAAGGCTTGGGAGCAGTTATTTCCCAAAATGGACAGCCGCTTGCGTTTGCAAGTAGAGCGTTCTCTCGAGCAGAAGTCAACTATGCTCAGATCGAGAAAGAGCTTCTGGCCGTGCTCTTTGGTTTGGAGAAATTTCGCCAGTACACACACGGTCGGTCGTCCAGTGCAAGTCCAATCTGATCATAAGCCATTGGAAAGTATAATTAAAAAACCCCTATACATATGGCTCCAAGACGATTGCAGAGAATGTTGTTAAGACTGCAAGGATATGATATTGATTTGGTGTATCGAAGTGGAAAGAATATGGAGCTTTCTGACACGTTGAGGCGAGCGTATCTTCAAGAAGGTGGAACCCCGGTCGAAATTGAAGTAGAGTCGATCAATGTGATGCACAGTTCACCCGTTGACTCAGCAAGATTGGATGATATCTGAGCGAGAATGGAAACTGATGAACGTATGCAAGAGCTGAAGAAAGTCATTTTGAAGGGTTGGCCAGATAAGAGAAGTGACGTTCCAGGGCAAGCGAGACAATGTTTTGATGTACGTGACGAATTGACAGTTCACGAGGGTTTGATTTTTCGAGGTGAAAGAGTGTTAGTTCCAAATGATCTGAGAAAGCAGATGATTCAACGTATTCATTCGACTCATATAGGGGCAGACGGATGTCTACGTTGTGCAAGAGAATCTATCTATTGGCCAGGAATGACCAGAGATATTAAAGATCACACTGCACAGTGCGATGTATGCCGATCGTTTGACAATAAGCAATCAAAGAAACACTGAGATCTCACGAAGTGCCTAATAGACCATGGGCAAAAGTCGGAGTTGATATTTTTACGTTTAGTGAACGAAATTATCTGATAACTGTTGACTATTTTTCAGGTTTTTGGGAAATAGATCTTCTAGAGAATGTCAAGGCGAAAACGGTGATTCGGAAGATGAAATCTCAATTCGCTAGGTTCGGAGTTCAGATGTGTGTATGTCCGACAATGGTCCCAGTTCGTGTCCGAGGAGTATCATAAGTTCAGCAAGAGTTGGAAGTTTCAGAGAATTACATCTTCTCCCAGACATCCTCAGAGCAATGGTCGTGTAGAAAACGCAGTCCAAGCAGTGAAACGTCTCATGAAGAAAGCGAAGAAAGATAATGCAGATGTGTATTTAGCGGTGCTGGATTATCGAAATATACCGACACAAGGAAGTGAAAGTTCCCCAGCACAAAGACTAATGTCGCGAAGAACAAAAACATTGCTCCCAACGACAGCAAAGTTGTTGGCACCAAGAGTTGTAGAAAATCACCATCAAGAAATTGTGAAAGGCCAAGAACGCCAAGCGAAGTATTATAATAGAGGAGCAAAAGATCTACCTCGTTTAAGGAAAGAAGACAAAGTAAGAGTTTAAGATCACGGACAAGGTCTTAAGAAAAGCCCGTCAGTCAAAGCGACTGTGAAAGAAGTAGTTGGTATTAGATCATATGAAGTTGAAACACAAGATGGACGAGTTCTGAAACGAAATCGAAGTCACCTCAGAAAAACAACAGAAGATGAAAATGAAGTTGATGAGTCACCTCAAACACAAATTCACACAGACGAAGATAGAGAATCGAACCAGACTGAAGAAAGGCAGTCAAAACAAGCGGTAGATTGTCAAAGAGAACAAAAAGTAGAAATATGAACACGTTCAGGACGGTTAGTAAATAGACCTGCGTATTTGAAAGACTATGTAGCATTTGTGTTTTGAAATGCGAACTGGATTAAATAATAAACATAAATATTTGGACTAGTAATACTACACTTAAGTGTATATTGTTGTAATTTTTTAAAAAAATCTAAAAAAGGCTTGTATAGTTTTTTACCACGATAACTAAAAAAATATCAAGCGTATTAATACGAAAATTTGTACGGCTAATGCTAATAGACCAACCACATATCGACTAAATTTTTGTTCTATTTGGAAGAAAAGATAATGAGAAATTTGTAAAAGTCTGTCTTGCTCTGCCGGGCAGCGAAAATTAAATGTGGGCTAACCCATTGTATAACTTTTGCATGATACTTTAATTAAGAATTCTCTTTGAGTGGCCACTAATATATAAAACTTGCACTCGAGGGAAAAAATGAGAGAAATTTTACTCCCGTCAGTCCTGTGTATAGGGAAATTCGACAGTAAACTTTTTGAAGGCATAAATGTAAACTGAGGATCTGGTGCTTCAATCTTTCGATGGCTAGCGAGTAAGTTTTCTGTCATTTTGATAGGAGTGAGTACAAAGAAGAGCGATGCATTTTAAATGCATCTTTACTCGTCGCATCCGAAACCGGTTTATGATCAAACAGATAATAAAGGCAGCTGTGAATTAACAAGTTATATATTATAATAACTTTAGCGGTCGTGGCGTATTTATCGGGCTAAAATGAACAAATCAGCGGGCTAAGATAGCTTTTTACGTCATTGATATTATACCGTTCAATAGTAATTGTGTCATATATTCCATATTATAGTAATTGTGTCATATATTCCATTGTTGTTGTTGTTAAAAAAATATATTATTGTATTATAGTTAATTTAGTCATGTTATCGTTAAAAGATATATATTTAGTTGATTAAAGTAAGTAGGAAATAAGTCAATAACTTAGATTCCTAAGCCATGGGCTAAGGATTATCTCATTGGAATAGTATTTTTGTTAATGATAAGTTGTGAACGTCACTGGACGTACATGTCACTTGCATGTAAAATAAGATAGTTAAAATGATTGTAAACTGATTGTCTCAGTCAGTTGGCCATTGTGGCATAGGACTGAACGTTGTAACAAGGATTGTTTTTAAATATATATGGAAAAAGTATGAAATGTATGAGAACCAGCAGAGGAGCGAACTCCTCAACACATGGTCCTTCGAGCCGGGTCGTTTGATTGTGCGATAGTTTGATTGTGAGATTGAAAAATGGACGAGTTGAACAGGGAAAAATGAACGCGCGGTGGACACCGTTTGTTAGTTAAGAAAACCCTGGGAGAAGTAAAAGGACTGCTTTCCAATCCTGAATTGGAAAGAGAGACGTTATTTAATCGAAAGTCTTCCTTGGAAGAGCAACTTGGAGTAATCCAAACGCTGGATAACGACATCTTAAAGGTTATAGAAGACACAGATGAGACCAAGGAAGCAGTTATTGCGAACGAAATCGAAGAGGCAGGGGTATTGAGGGCGGATATAAAAGCCGCAATACGATTGTTGGAAGAAGCCCCTGCAGCAAAAGAATGGCGAAAGCGAAGCGAACAATGAGGCGGCGAGTTCAATTGAAAGTGCCGTATCCACTGAATAACTTTAAATTAGTATATGTTTAAGTTTGCGAGGATAAATCCCGCAGCTTATTGAATTGTTAAATATACAAGATAAGGGCTCGGAAATGACTTGCACATCTCAAAATACGGGATGGGCAAGAATATACCCATGAGCCTTATGTTATGGACTCTGCATTATTACTGATTTTATCTCACTTGATGAGACAGATTCAAAGAAAAATTATTCAGATATGTTAAGCTTAGGCAAATAAGTACTTAAATGCTCCTCGGAATTTGGTGTTTTGCTGCAAGTTTATGGCCTTTTGTTACAAAATGATTGTTTAATGCAAGCTGGCACTGGTATACATGAAATTGCAGTGAATGTTATCGTTATTAAGCTAGCGCACTGTTGTATTTTTAGGTTCGTTTAGAATGATCTTAATACCTTATGTGCATGGAGTTTTTATACTTCATCTGTTAAGAATCGAAAGGCGAGGGGTTAATTGCTGCATGCATGTATTTTCTAGTTAAATCGTACTTTAAAAGCATGACTCATGAGTATACACGAAAGCGTCGCTTTATTAACCAACGGATTATTTAAAGAATAAAGAGATTTCGGGTAAAAGTAAAAGCAGACAGTGTATGATGTTAAGCCTGTTTCGCACATGCCTGCGGTATGTCGGCGGGCTATTGTCGTTAGCAGTTCAATCAAATAGCTAATTCACAAAAGAATGTATGCATCAACAGCTGTAAACAATGATAGCGCAGGCATACTGTATAGCAAAGGCATATGTGAACCAGGCTTTAAGGGATATGGCAATATATTTTTTTATTATTTCGTTTTAAAGAACTTTTAAAATTATATGTTAATCTCCGCTACCGATTTTGCGTAACTTTATTATTTCTTGAAATATTTTGACTTAAAATAATTTGCTGACCGCCATCTTATCTCATTATCGGTGATTTTAGTGACGTGATAAGCAGGGTTAGCCATATAAAACTACATCTAAATGACCAAATAACATTAAGTCTGGTTTGAAAAGTGGTCAGACAGTTTTTTATTTCAAATAGTTACTGAAGTATATGATTTTGGGCCCATAATAACTATGGGTAAAATTCTTGCGAGACCCTGCTTATCAGTGATGTCACATGCATATCCGCCAAAATCCAAGATGGCGGAAAGCTCGCTGATTTGTGATTTTTTCTGTTCAAATATCTCAAGAAATAATAAAGTTATGCAAAATCGGTAAAAGAGATTTACATATAATTTTAAAAGTTCTTCCAAATGAAATAATAAAAAAATATATTGCCGTATCTCTTTAAGCGATTTGTTGATTATCTATTAATAACACATTATAAACCTTTATGAAGCAATTCTCATAAATATTTATAACATGTATATTAAAAAACATAAAAATATTACTCGATTGTGATTGGTTGATTTCAGTGCAGTTAATCCCAAACAGCAGTGCAATTTTCTGTAATCACAGTGCAATTTTTTGTAATCAGAGTGCAATTTTCTGTAGTCACAGTGCAAAAATCTGTAACAAACAGATCTGATTGGTGGAAAAACATTGTGATGATAAAATCAACCAATCAGTTAAAGCAGTTTAGTTTAAAGAATTAACAGTCACAGATTGCTTCAAAACAAAACAAACATGGCGCCGCGCTGCATAAAGCAAAAGTTGACTTTAATGGAAAGCCTTTACCTTAAACAAGATTAACAAAACCTAAAGAGTTGAGTGGAATTTTCAAGCTGTTAGCGTTGTATAATGTGATATAACAAACTGCCAGGAAAACTTAGCCAGTGGACGGTTCGCTATTAAAACTACAATTGTCTTGAACATTTTTATGTTTGAAATTATTGATAAGTAATAATTTTGAGGTCTTTGAAAAACTCACTCGTGCATGTTAATATCCAAATTGCACTCGAAACCATGCTATTACCTATACAAATAAGTCATACTTTACAGCTCAGATAAGACAATCATGGACAGGGCCGTCCTCAGGGAATTCTTCAGGGGGGTGTAAGGTCATTTCATCCGACCAGTACATGAAAAAGTTTTTGGGGGACAAATTATTTTTGGCGACATCCCCCTGAATTTGCGTTAATTTACCCGAATTTCTTCTGCAAATCTACCTGAATTTACCTGAAATTGCTCATATGAGCAATTATCAAGGGGAGTGTTATACCCCCACACCCCCCGCTCGCTACGGCCCTGCAACCGACTGACGAACAGGGTCGCCGAGAGGTTGACGGGAGCCCGGGCGATAAAATTTTTTTCGGAGACCAACAACCTCTATCTTGCCCTTTGCGCGAAAATATTTAACCCAAATAGCACTCCTACCGACTGAATAGCAGTCCTGCCGACTGAATAAAATTTCTGGGGGTGTCACCCCCCCCCCCCCCGCCCACACACCCCGCATCCCGGTCCTGATCATGGAAATAATATCCGTAGACGTTTTTAAAACGTGTTTTGCCCTACTATTTTATAAAGCTTTTTATTTTTAGTTTGTACAAATATCCATGATCGCTAGAAATAGTAACTCCCCCCCCCCTCCTCACCCCTAGTACATTGTGGGTTCAAACCATGATTATTGGACCACAAACCAATATTGTAAACGGGAAGGGGGAAATTTGGAGTATTTTTCAAAAGTCTACAAATTAATTTCATGATTGTAGATTAAGGTTAGATTAGGGTTATAGGGGAAAAGGTTAGGGCCGGGATTAGATTAGGATTAGGGTGCAGTATGGCGTTGCGAATTTATTGTATTCATAAATTCCGACGTGTTTAGCACTTTACTCATATAATAAACTCAAAGCTTTTGAAACACGTTATTACAAACTAGTTGGTAGATACAAACTATAGAATTAGAAATGAATTAAAATAAGAAAATAATTAATAATTTAAACTTCAGTAATAAATAATGATAATTGTACAACAATGTATAAAGAAAATTTAAAAAAGGGAAACAATCGCAATTAAAGAAAATAATTAGATCAAGCTCAATAGCTCATGCCGCTGGAAAAATAGTACTAAACCTGTTTACGACCTGTATAAGTATTTGACGTCAATTCAGCCATATTGGCTTCACTTTTTTCATAGGTCGAATGATTGAAGTTCGTGCTCAAGATATATATGGAGCTCACTGGTGCAAACAGTCCTTAGCCGTTATACAATAGGAATTCTCCCCCTAGGGCTCCCGTTGTAAAGAACAGGACACGTAGCGTTCATTTCCTTCACAAGTTTTTCAACAATTTCCAAGTCGCTCCATTCCAACCTTCGCTTGTTTTCTAGAATCTCAGAGCCCACTAGATTGTGATGACGCTGCAGAACATCCAGACAAGTGAATGTCAAGCTCCCATTGCACGTTACCGGTGCTCTTGCATATTTCAAAAGAATAAGGTTATTGCTCAGAGGAAGGTCGCGTTTGCCTGTGCAAAATGTTAGATTGTGTCCTGCCGCTTTGTGCGACAAACAGTAACTGGCTAGAATTAACTGAGCCGAACGATACGCTGTCCCAGGATTAGGAGTATGAACGCTTGCTTGAGGGGCTGCCATGACAGGTTGTATGTCGTAGGGCCTGATAGTCGCGCTAGGCTGAAAGCGTTTGTTGTATTCATCGAGAGGTGCGGAGCAAATCTTGAGACTCCAGTCGTAGCGGTCTCTCTCGAAGTGCCATGCGTAGTTGAGAACAATCGTAACGGGGAAAATAGGACCGTAAGCACTAATATTCCTGTAGACCTCCTCAAAGTTGCGTGCTTTATATCTCCGCAGTAAGTATTCCCTACAGTTAGCAAACGTATCACGATATATGTATATTGGAAAATGCAGCATGAAGTCGGCTACAGCCGGTAGGCCAATGAAGATCTCCGTGTTCTTGAGGGAAATTCTATTGCGCACTGCTGGGCAATCAGTTCCAACCACTCTCAATCGTGTACCGTTGTACATGGAATTTCTCGTCACCGAGGTGCAAAATGCACTGTCAGAATCCACCCATGCAATGACTGGGTCGTTCGTGTATAAATCATTAAAAAAGCTGCTCCAAATTTGACGATTATAGCCTGACCCGCGCCAAGGACGCTCCAAGAGCGTTTCATGGTTCATCGGAAGAGGCTCGTAGAGTATTTCAAGTTTGCGATCTGGGAAGAATTGATCAAAGTGTCTCTGTATGATTTTTACTAGTTTGTGATCCAGCAGCGATTCCTGGTCGAATACCAGGACGAGTTTTCCATACGAAGCAGGCCAAAACAATACGGCTGTCCTGAGGAAGTCACAGTAAAATCGCTTGATGTGTAATCCAGTCATCCTCATAAACAGCGTCACTGGTGCTTCAATTGCGGAATCGTAACGTCGGGCCACCATAACCATTGGCTTTTGTTCTTGGTTTATCCAGTAGAAATACATTATGACTGAAACATTGATGGCCACTAGGGCAGAGAACAGCAACACGTGACATTTCTTAACTGACGGATTTGGCATAGTTAATATACCTGGAAATATAGATCAAGGAAAAGCAAGAAATTAAATGAAGGAAACTTGCCGTAGAGTCTGGGTTAGACGTTCATGCATGGCTTAGTCTTTTTTCTTAGAAATAAACGTGTAAAAATCTCACAACTTGTCTACAAGATATGTTCGCAAGTGGCTTGTCGCAAACATATCAACAAGATGTATCAGGCAATGTTGTTATTTTGTCAAGTTGCCACGAATTTGTCACTCACAACTTGCTATGCATGTCACGTAAATGTTTACATGAAGTATATCTCTATGACGTTTACAGACGCGCAGAGAGCCGATGAAAACCATTTCAGAACCAACTTGGTTGAGGAGGTTATAATTATTTTCACCTGGATTTGAATGTGTATGTGTATATATGTGTTTCTCTTTTACCACGATAACTAAAAAAATGTCAAGCGTATTAATGCGAAAATTTGTACGGCTAATGTTAATAGATCAACCACATATATATCGATTAAATTTTTGTTCTATTTGGAAGAAAAGATAATGAGAAATTTGTAAAAGTCTGTCTTGCTCTGCCTGGCAGCGAAAATCAAACGCGAGATAACCCATTGTATAACTTTTGCATGATACTTTAATTAAGAATTCTCTTTGAGTGGCCACCAAGATAAAATTTGCACTCGAGGGGGGAAATGAGAGTAATTTTAATCCCGTCAGTCCTGTGTTTTGTAAACTGAGGATCTTGTACTTCAATCTTTCGATGGCTAGCGAGTAAGTTTTCTGTCATTTTGATAGGAGTGAGTACAAAGAAGATCGATGCATTTTAAATGCATCTTTACTCGTCGCATCCGAAACCGGTTTATGATAAAACAGATAATACAGGCAGCTGTGAATTAACAAGTTATATATTATAATAACTTTAGCGGTCGTGGCGTATTTTTCGGGCTAAAATGAACAAATCAGCGGGCTAAGATAGCTTTTTACGTCATTGATATATACCGTTCAATACTAATTGTGTCATATATTCCATATTATAGTAATTGTGTCATATATTCCATATTCCATTGTTGTTGTTGTTAAAAAAAATATTATTCCACTGCTGTTTATTTGAAGTTGTAAGCCACAAATTGACGTTTGACTATGAGTATTGCATGGTCATTTCCTTGTGAAATATCAGTGCTAGGCATTTCACACTTACCAAGGACCACCCCTAAAAGCACCATCTCGGAACCATATAAGCACCTCAGAATAGTCAAAGCTTTTATGGTTTGGTAGATAGCACTATGTCGAAAGCGTCGTTTTTGGGCGTGGTCAGTTTCGGATGTTTCGTCCCGGATTGGGGTTCGGGCAGCGCTACCATGTTGACCGTCATGGTCAACTTACCCTAAAACAGTTGAGATTATCTGTCCTAAATGAAATGCATACAAA